TTTCCTTGCATTGCATTTTGGGATAATCCCTCCTCGCTTCAGTTTCCAAAATGGCGAAACTTGTGAAATTTGGTCAGCGAGTTGCTGTCGCTACACCTGGCTTATTTATTCGAATTGCAAGCAAAGGGGGTGGTAAGTTATGAATCATGTTACTTCCAGAATTAATTAGGTTCATTTAAAATTCATTTGTTCTACAGACGTATAATTTCATTTCATTTTAGGACTGAGCGTAAAACATTATTTTAGTCAGCCTTTTTATCTATGCTGTTTGACAGACAAACACAGAAGAAACAGAAAGGAAAAAGAGATTTTGCAATTAAGCTGTTATAAACGAAGCTCCATGAAACTATCTTCTTCATACTATCATACAATTTACAGCCATTGTATTCAAACTCAATGGCAAATGTTTCATCCAACCGCAACCATCCCGGACTGCTGAGTATGGCTGTTTTCAACGAGATCTCGGACAGCGAGTTGTGTGTAATTCTGCACAATTATGTGTTAGATCCCAAGAAGGGAATATATGAGCGAAGTAAGAAAATGTACACGATTGAATCATCAAATCAATGCAAGCCAGGCTGGAAAACTTGCATATGTTCGCAGCGACGCTAGACTTCTTGTGCTCCCACCTGGCACCAAAATATCAAGCTATTCATATACCATACTATAGTAATGTATATATGGGCATCATTGCTTGCAGCTCAAATGTTTCCGCTTGCAGGTTGCAGCTGAGCTGATAATGTGCCGTTTGTTGCCCCTGTGAAAAGACCATGGCAGAACCATGGTCAACAATGGTTGTACCATGGTCTGACAAGTTTTTCAACCATTGTTAACCATGGTTTGTCAATGAACTGACCATGGTACAGGCTTTTAGAGACAATTTTATGTTTTCATCACAAAATTATCTAGAGGTGATAAATCATTTAAATTTTTGAAATCCAGCTTCTAGCGACCTTAAATGCATCAAAATTTTCTGACTTAGTTCCGCCAAAACAAAAGAGTGTAACGGCTGTGAAAAACTATCAGCTGTTCACATTGATGATGAAAATGGAATGAAAGGAAATGTAGTTTCACCAGTGCGGTAATTGATGATATCCTGTTGTTGTTCCATTTAGGGACATGTATGCAAGGGGGACTGAGGTGTTCCTCTGTGCTTCCACTTGAAAAGACTTATCCTTTTTTTGGAAATTTTGGCTGATTGGAAGGATAGAAGAATGATTTAAAAATTAGATGGAGTTTGGGAGGATTTTTTAAGAAATTTGAAGGAATTTGCGGAAATTCAAATAGAGATCTAGAAAATTGACAAAAAGTTTATGTGATTGTTAGACTTGACAAGGTTTTCTCTTTCACTTGCTTGTGTAAATTAGCACCTTCTGCCGATAAGCAGTGAATCCAATTTTCAATCTGGTAAACAAGGGGACCAAGCTCCTCGTGAAAGCAAATGAAAACTGAAAAGCAATGCAATAATTTGGGTGGAAATGTTGTCACTGATTTCCACAGGTGGTTTTAGTTATTAAGAAAAAACAGAAAATAATACTTCAACAGAAGATTAACGCTTGCTCGAAAATCAAATAAATCTGCCAGAGAATACGCTTGATGGCCTGGTGGTTATTAGAGGGTTATTAGATTAAAAATGGTGTCGAAAACCCAACATTGAATACTCTTGAGAAAGTCTACTTTGGTGTGGCTGCATCTTCAACCCTGCAAAAGATGATTGATCCCAGAAGCCAAGGTATCGAAACTTTCAAAAATGACTGTCGTAATTTTATGATTGAGTCGCTAAAACAGATAAAAGCCAGGTTTGATGCCTCATCAGAAATCCATGACGTTATAGAATGTCTTCAGCCAAAAATGCAGCATCCCTTCAGCCACCATCTTTGTGCCTGGTTTCAAAAATCTTATCGTATCTGAAAGAGATTTTGGACACAAATGACCTTGAACATGCACTTGATGTTAAACCTGAATCCCAAACAGGATTGTGCAACCCAGTTGCTCTGTCCAACAATTCTACGGAACTGTTTCTGTTCCTCAGATGTTAAGGGGCTTTTCTTTTCCTTGGCTCTTCCTGGATCAATTTTAATACTTTGAATATTTTCAACATATGCCCCTTGACTGATAGTAATACCTTTACGGGTTTGCTTGATGTCAAAACCAATGTATGTAAAATTGTCCTTTGCACGTCGCCCAACTGTAAATCTCTCTGCAAGTGGTTTCAAAACTTTCTCTTCAAAAACTTCATTACCACAATGCAAAAAATCATCAATGTGCATAATCAGAGCACCAGTAACTTGTGTATTTGATGTCATGTAAAACAGTGATGAATCAACTTTGGATTGTTTCATCCCAAGATTGATTAACTCCTCTTTTACACTGTCAAAGAATTGTCTCGCAGCATCCGCTAGCCCATAAAGGGTCTTCTTAAGTTTCCACAGTGCCCCATTACTCTGCGCAGCTTCTGGAGGAGGTTTGATGAACACATCTCTTTGAATTTGCTTTCCTTGAAGAAAGGCAGATGTGATGTCACTAGATTTTACTGTCCAACCATTGCTAGTAGCAGTTGCCAGAAGTATTCGCATGGTTGTTTTTGCAACTGTTGGAGAATTACTTTCAATATATTGGGTCTCTTCAAAACCTCTGGCAACTAAACGGGCTTTCATCCCACCATCTTTTTGAGTTATGACCCACTTAGTGGATATGCAAGGCTGACCAACATCCTCAACTTCATCGTAAACATCAAAATCTTTTAATTTCCTTAGCTCAACATGTTTTGCTTGCAAAACATCACTTAAAGTAGATTTGGTATCAGAGACAGTCACTAAGTCAATTTCTTCATTTACCTTTTTCCAATCACTCAGTTGTTCAAAGTTAAGACTTTTCTTTTCGCCTGTGTCTTTGTCCTCTACATTGAACCAGTATTTAGTTGATGTACTTGCTTTGCCTGCTCTCCCTAAAACTGTCCCTGTAATCCATGGATCGTTTTCATTTATCTTGTATTCGATCTGGTCATTTTTTCTTAATGAGATCTTTTGTTGGTATGCCAATTGTGGTTGCTCTTCCACATCATGTGCATGGTGCTGGGTATCAGGGTCTTGTTCCTGACCAACCCTTAATGCACCCAGGTTTTCACATAGCTGTGGCGTTGAGATTGTAGCACAAGAGCTATTATCTCTTTGCAAGGGAACTGACATATTTGGATTTGTGTCCCTTTGATCAACAACCACATCATCATTTTTCAAGTCTACATCCTTGATTAGTCTGTTTGTTGACACACGAACATATACACCAGCATGGCGTACAAAAACAACTTTTCCATCTTGATAAAGGACTTTTCCTGGACCAAGCCATTTATGACTTCCATCACGCTTGTAAAACACCCTGTCACCAGGATTAAATACATCATCAGTGGCTCTGATAGGATGTCTAAGTGCTCTCCGTATGCGTTCATCAGCTTCACATTGAATGAACGCTTTCCTTGCTGAAAATAGGGCATCCAAATGCGTTTTCAGAATTTCACTTGAAGTGGTGCCTTGTAGTGCTGGAAGTTTCTCTGACATAATGTTTGGCAAGTTTGGGTTTTTTCCAAGGACAAGCTGATAACTGCTAAAACCATTCCACATCTGCAATGAATTTTTTGCTACATTTGCCCATGCTAAGAGAGTATTTTCATCTGTCTTGGGATTCTCTTCTGTTAAGATTTCCAGCATTCGATCAGTAATTTGGTGATTTCTTTCGCATAGACCATTGCTCCATGGGCTTTCAGCAGGAGTAGAGGAAAGCTGGATATTGAGAATACTAGCCACCTCACGCATTTCAGAATTATTGAATTCTCCACCATTATCAAAAAAAATTCCTTCCATGACACCCCATCCTGCTCCAATCCAATGCTGGATGATTTTCTCAACAACAACATGTGGGGATTTGCTGTTAATAAAAACTGACACACTCAGTCTTGTGAACATATCTATCATGTGAAGGATATACTTTCCTTTCCAGCTCTTCAGATCAATGGCTATTTTTTCATTGAATCTACTTGCCATTGGCATACTGACCACTGGTCTTGCTGGTGTCTTTTTATACATCTTGCATGTCTGACAGCCATCATAAATCTCACAAAGTTCTTCATTGTATTGATCTTTCCACACTCCAGCATCAGCCATTAATGCTTTTAGTCTGGGCATAGATGGATGGGCAAATTATTTGTGCAGCTTCTGCAAAATTTTCTTTCTTTCTTCTGGCATAACATCACTCAGAACCACATTGCAAACTTCCTGTACCCTTATCTCATCAGTTTTTCCAATAGGAATGCAATAATGACCACTTGAAGTAAAGTTTAATGGTACTTCGGTCCCAAAAAACTCTGCTGTATCTTTTTCGATGTTCAATTTTGCATTGGCCTTTTTTAGAGATTTTAGACTCAACAAAAGAGGGATGGCAGACATAACAACATCCACTTCAATGACAACATCTTTGCCAGCAATATTACAAGGTAATTCACAAAACAAGAGAGACTGTAGGACTTCACCACCACCAAATTTGAATACCTTTTGACCCTTGGTCTGCTGTATTTTCATCAGCTCACCATCTGGTAAAGTGCTTAGGTAACATTGAAACCATTTTTGCCCACAAACAGTAGAAGTACAAGCTGTGTCAAGTACAGCACAATTTTTTGCTTCTTCACCAAGAACTTGCACTGCATCTTTGTTGTAACCAGTAAATAAGACAACTTTCTCTGCAGGGTCTGAAAGAACTTGTTGGGCCATCTTTGCATTTTCATAAGAATAAGGGCAAGATGCAACTAGATGGCGGTAAGAACCACAAGCATGGCAGGTTAAAAGTGAACCATCAGGGCCCTTTTGATTGATTGACAGAAGCACCACCTGTACTCACTGGAATCGGAGCCATCTTGCGACTTTTGTCACTGGGGAATATCCTTGAGCCTCGACCCCTTGACCAAGGCCGCCCCCTGAATGTTTGAAAGTTTCCCATTGCCAAAACATTTTCTGGAGCAGCAACAAAGGCAGGTTCCAATTTTATTGCAGCTGAACCTGAATCATCACCAGAAGCCAAATCTCCCTTAAATTTCTTTAAAGATTTCTTAGCCTGCTCAAACAAGTTGTCCTTTTTGTCAAAATTTATCCCAGACAAAATCAACAATTTTTCAGGCTTACTTATATTTGCACTACTTAGAAGCTCAAAACAAATAATTTCTTGCGGTAACTTAATCCCCTTTTTTAGGATACAGTTATATTTCTGTTCAAAATCAAGAATAAAATCACTTATCTTCTGGTCAGCAACTCTGGTACAATTTTTAAACTCTTCATACTTTTCTAGGCTATCCTCCATATCATCTTTACCGAGCGTTTTTTCCATGAAGTTGAGCAAAGTGCTCAAGCCATCTTCCTTTTTCAAATCATCGAGTGGAACACTTTCCATCACCTGCGCCTGTACTGACTCATTTTCAGGAAGAGAAAGAGCAACAGCAATACCCATTTTCTTTTTCTCCAGATCCGTTATTTCACTCCACATTTGAACTTCCACTTCCCATCGCTCAAACGTTTTTTCACTGCTGTTGAACACAGGTGGATTTAATTTCATGGCGGCCATGATAGCTGACGGTGCGTGATTTAGGCCTAGGGCCTGACCGGCTCCGTAACGTAAAATAGGGAAGGAAGTAAATATAGTCCAGTACAAATGACACAAAAATCAGGCAAAATGGCACAAAAACACTGATATAACGCTCCTTAGAACTTTTTTCCTCTGCTACCACTGTTAAACCTGAATCTCTGTACATATACGCAACGCACGTGCTTCGCTAGTCTTCACTACTCTCAACACTAACAACAACAACAACATAACACTTGAGACAGATATTTTGGGGAACATGACATGGTCTGACTATAGGTTGAAAAAAAGGTGCAAACAAGGCAGACGGATCAATGAAATTTCCCACTCTTATATAGTTTGTTGGCTTGATAGCAACTTTCCCCTTTTCGAATGCGCCGGTTGAAAGAGTTTTCAGTGCTCTAAGGCTTATTAAAAGTGACAGAATAGGCTCCCATAGTCAAGACAGCATCACTGGTTTCGCTCATGCAAAGCAGATTCTTGCTCAAGATGAATGGATCCTCTTCTTCAGACTTCACGCCAACCAAAAGCATGCTAGACTTGCTTGAAAGGATGTAGACAAAGGCGAAGGTGAAGGATCCGGTTCGGATAATCCAATTAACCTCATGTCATACACGACAGGGAGTTTTTTGACTGCATCAACGAATCACAGGTCGCCTAGGGTCAGGGAACGCTCTCCTAGAAATATGACATCAAGCAAAACATGGTAGCTCTCCGGATTGTTCATGTCTGCTGTAGACGAATGTCACTGATTCTGAAGCAGAACTTTGAAATAATATCTTTGTAAGCTTTTCAGTAGCACTGATTGAATTTATCATCACACATTTGTTGCTTTGAGACATGGGTTCCTCTTGTTGTTGAAAATATTGTTATATTGTTGTTATTTTATTTTAATGCGGTGTTATGATATGACATCTGCAATGCTGCATCAATCAATCGTTAGATTCCTATACTTAGAAATTAACAGCAGCCTTAGAAAAATTGCTTGAAGGTTTCTGCTAGCTTTGACCAAAAACTATAAACTGTGATATGATAGAAAGATATATCCAGTGAAATTGAAAATTGAATAAGCTTGAACATATGAAAAAGTACAAAACTAGCTATTTGTATGGAAACTTGGCGATTGCTTCTACAAGCACCTTCTAGCTTAAGCCCCTTGAATAGGCCCCAATCTGAAAATCGCCTTATTAATACCCTCTTGGAGGTAATGCGAGTTTTAAAGGTACACAAACAGCTTTAATCAGCTAAAGATTGCCTTGATTGTTACCCCTTGGGGCCTAATGCGAGTATTAAAGGTACAGAAGTGGGGAGTGTTGATTAATTCTCCTCTGCATAATTGATAACTACCATTGCGTGGTCAATACCTGCCACTCCTAAAAAGAACATAGGTCATTAATCATTACAAATCAAGTAACAGGGCAGAGGGAAATGGAAAGGATTTTTCCCACATTTTGGAGGGAATTTTGAGCAAGAATAAGGGTTTTTTCGGGATTTTGGTTGAGCAAAAAGTGGAAGCACTGGTGTTCCTTCGAGATTTATTCAAATTTGAATAGAAAGTGCAGGGATATAGGATGGGCATATCTATTACATTTGATTTCATTGAGGGATGTTTGATTCCAATATATTTTCGACATGTGTTGTCTCATTTCCTGGGGGTATATATGGTATGGTGGCACTTAATCTGCCTGAGCTTTTTGGCATTATATTGACTGCCTATAGAACATCTTATAAGTGCAATCTTTTGATCTTGCTTTTTTATTTTTCCTTAGATGCAATGTCTAAAGCACAACCACATCTTGCTAAATTTTGGGCAAATGCCAAAGTAGAAATGGCTCCTCCAGGACCAAGTGAATTTCCAGCCATCAGAAAGGGAATGATTGAGATTAAGGACAGTTTATTGAGTGGTAAATTTTTGGAAAATTCTGTGAAGGATGCTGCTGCGAAGGGCCTGGTGGCTGCAGAAGTAGCATTTTGGTTCTTTGTTGGTGAAATAATTGGAAGAAAGAGCTTGATTGGATATAATGTTTGAATTGACTTTAAAAGAATAGTACTATGTAACGTATGAAAAAATACTTCCTTGTTTACAACAATTTCATTGTGAATGGTGTTTTCGCTGTAATGATTGCAAACTTCATGATATGCCCATCAGTTTTACGTGATTGGAAATGTTTTTTTGTGTTGGTTATCTTGATAAAGTTCCTATCAACCTTAGAAATACTAATAACATAAAACTGTCTGAAAATAAATGGTTTGGCAAGAATTTGATTTGTTGCCAATCTTGCATTAATACTCTTTTATCTTACAACACAAAAGCAAACTTTGACTTGATGGATATTTATATGCAATTCCTGTGTATGTTAAAATATATTATATTAAAAGGGCAGCATCTTTAGATGCTAGGAAACTTTTGCTGCAAATCCAAAACAAACTTTGGCCAAAAGATGTTAGATTTGAAGGGTGTTTTAGAAATTCATGACAAGAGTCTTTCAGAAAATGAACATCACGTGGTATTTGATATTGTTAATGTCATTCTACTACTTCTAATTCACTTTGCACTTTCAGCTTGGTTTGATTTATAGCATAGTTCATGAAAAAAACAGCATACTCATTTTTCTCAATACTTGAGATAGACTTTTGTTAATGGTATGCCCCATTGGCATATTATATGCCAAATTTTTATTTTTGGCATATTTTGAAGACATGCTTGCACATAAAGTTTGTTATATTTTCTAAATTTAGCATCTTTACAGCACAATTGTCGTCACGTAACAGGCTAACATTTTATTTACAAACGTTTTGGTACAAAACAAAACAACATCAGTTTCTATAGTTGAAAAGTTTTATTATGAAGGTTTTATTTTTTTCAAATAAGTGGATAAGCCAACCAGTAAACTTTTCTCAGGAACACGATACAAAGGGCCTTTGATTCTGCAAACTGTAAACTTTTCAGTAAATTTTCGCACATTCTCGGTTTAAAATTCCTCGTCGTGCATCTAATTTCTTTTTGTTAATATAATACACTGACAGATATTTTTGTAATAAAATGCTTGTAATGAATTTAGTGTAAATTTATAGAAGCTGCTTAAGATTGAAGATAAGCGAAGGACTAATAATGTGATCCTTCCATGAAGTTAAGTAGAAAGCAAGCTACGACAGAAGCTCCTGTTAAACTAGATCATTTTCACAGGTCAGGAAAGTTTGTGCCTGCCACATTTTTTGGATAGCCACTCACTTTACGTCATCAATCCCTTTTTTTGAGCCTGAAAAAGCATCACAACCACATAGCCACTGCTATGTTGAAGATTTCTTAAATGTGCTAAACACGCAACGCTTTCAAAAAAACCTAACTAGCCTTCTTTTTCTTAAAGAAATGAGAATTTATTTAACACATGTCTTTGTAGAGCATATTTTTATAATAGCCCCCCTGTCCTTACCAAACCGACATTTCGCTCGAATTTTGCCATTCCACGATGCTTTCTTAGCTCTCAAAACAAGAGTTCGTACTTTTCAAGAACAAGCATTGAAATAATGATATTGGCAATGATATTACAGTTTTTAGGATCTCTCAGGAAGCAAAGTCTAGTTTATCACTTAGGACCTTTATCAGAACAGGTAGAAACTACAATGCGATTGTGCTTAAAACCTTTGCACACTTTTGAATTAAGGTTTTGAAGAGCAATTGAGCTCATGTGTACATTTTTTGTAAACAATTCTGTAAGTCATCAGCGATAAGATTGTGCTGCAGGTATTGGTCTACTAAAAGGTCACGTGGTGCCACCGATATATACAGCTGATTGGCTATGAATAGATAAGAAATGAACACCTGTAGATTGGATCATACCGAAGTTAAGACAACTGAGCAAAGGTCATAGGATCGCGGGAACTGCCGTGGCCTAAGCTAGGCTATCAACAAAAGGAAAAGTTGTCCGATTTACCAAGGAAACACATGGAAAGAAATCATTGTTTTGTGAGTCTACTCTTTATTGTTTAATTATGCTTGGGAAGTACAAAAACCTGCCGTTGTCTAATTGCTTTTTACGTTCAGTACTGGCTTGGAAAAATTGGGAGCTTTGTTGCAAATAGATTTTGTTTGAGAAAATAAATCGAGCAACGCATGTATGCAAAATCAATATTAGGGTTACATGGATAAAGATCTCGTCACCTCTGCTATAACGCGGGCAGACTGTTTGCTTCTAATATAACTAGGAAAGGACAACTCTACAAACATAGAAAATGCTGGATTACCATCCTCTCCCGCAATATGACACTTTGGGAGGTTACCCCTGCAATAACTGTTCATTTGCTTTACCCTTTACCCTTACTCGTGGATATAAGGGCTTTGATATTATCAGCAATTGCAACTATAGGGTTTATAGTGACATCGATATTCTGTTTAATTGTAACCATTCGTTAACCAAACGACTTTAACTTTGCTTGTGTACATTGTTGGTACTTACCTTATGTTCATTTAGCGAAAATTATTCGCTATGACGTTGCAATGCTTCACTACCCTTGGTTAAACATTATTTTTGTTTATCATAGTTGCCATAAGTATCAGAAGTGTGTAATTCAGTGTCGTCTTCTTGATCTCTGAAGCGTTTAAAATTGAATGACAATCCAAGTTTATGTGATTAATTGTTGTAGACACAGAAATGGCAAAGTTAGATAGAAATTTAAGTATTTTTGTATTTTTCCTGTTGGGCCTGTTTACTATATTAAATTATCAAAGTTACAAACATGTATTTATGTTGTCTGTTTTTGCTAATAAGCTGTGTTTTGCAGGAGATTTCAGTTTGAAATCATGGATTTGAGGCATGATCAAGCGTCAGTTGCTGCAGATGTTGTGGAAAGCCACGAAACTGTTGGTGGAGAAAGTATCGATCGAAAAAAGTCACCCTCGTCATCTCCAAAAACTCTTAAGGAAGCACATTTGCCGAACAAAGAAGATGGAACCGAGCAAAATAAAGATGTCGAAGAACATGTTGTAATGGACAAGGATGAGAAAAATATAGAATCAGAACGCACGAACTCAGGGCCAGTGGCCAAAGTTGAGAGTAATAAAATGGAGGACGATCAAGAGTCAACTTCACATTCGGAAGATAAAGTGATTCTTTTCGATCCTGTTTCGCATGTGCATGAAATGCAATTGAAAGCGACCGATGAACATAGTACAGAAATGCCTTTTAAGAAGAAGTGCTCTACGTGTATGCATAAACGAAACTTAATTGCGTTGCTTAGTTTCTTTGGGTTCTTTATCGTCTACTGCTTAAGAGTGGATCTCAGTATTACGCTTGTAGCAATGACCAATCAGCACACGAGGGTTACATTGATGGGGGATGAATGGACGGTTGGTTGAGCATATAGTAATTTGCTGGTTTTTAACTGCAGTATCCTCTCTCATTTGGCTTAGATCTCCTATCCAAGGAAATATATACAATTTTTGAGGTTGTCTTGCCAAAAAAGGTTTCTTAAATTTGATTTGTCTTTGTTGATGTTGTTTTTCTTTGTTGTTAATAAGTTCACCCAGGCAACCGATCTCAATGAAACCTTAGTTCCAGGATGAAAAAAGTTTGCCTTCTTCAAGGCTACGTATCAGTGGAAAATGGAGTTTACCAGATGAACACATACTCTTAGAAACATTTGACCTATTTTGCGGTTATTAAGCAGATGTTGCATCGAGACAGCGAATCCACATATTTTCTTATAAAACAATGCTATTTAACTGGAACATATTTGAAAGAAAACAACAATGGCCAACTATGATACGTTAGCTTGAAAATGTAAAAACTTACTAGCTTTTCTAGAAGGAATCAATTAAAATTAAGCCAAATGCACATTGTGAGCTGATTCATTTTCAAGCAAAATTTATTCACTGGTTTTTTTAATAGATATTGATAATTTTTTACTGTTAATTCAGGCGGAACCAGAATTCGATTGGGACAATAAGCTGCAAGGTGATCATTTATTCTGCTCTTTTTCCATTGCAGAACACCGTAATATTTCCATTCTATGTTCTATAAAAGCACCCTAACGTACGCTCTAAAAAAGTTAATGATTTCATATGATAACTTGTCCCCATAGTTTAAATGCACAAGTGCATATCCGAATATTAGTGAATTTTTACTAAATTTGGCATCGGTCTTACACCTAACTTTAGTAATTTAAATATTCTCATTCTCAATTTTTTATTGGCTTTGCTTGCTACAATCTGCGTTTGATTGATAAAATTTGCTTTTTTTTAATTCCCGAAACTGTTTCTGGATAATTTCTGCCAATTCCTTTCACTTATTTTCAATTAGAAATTAATGTCCAGTGCTTTTCTGTCGTAGGCAATATCCTCGGTGCCTTTTTCTACGGTTATCTCATAACACAAATTCCTGGCGGATACATTGCTGCAAGATTTGGTGGAAAGAATCTGTTTGGCCTAGCAATAATTATGACGTCATTCTTGACATTACTGACGCCGTGGGCCTCAAGGCAACATGTAGCGCTCTTGATTACACTTAGATTTCTAGAAGGCATCTGCGAGGTTCAATGGTTTTCAAATCACTTCTTTCGATCATTTGCAGGCTTAATCCATTATTTTATGTGTCCATCATGGCCAAAAGGGGCGTCACCAAAAGGGGGTGCGTTGCGGGGATTGCTGTACCCACCCCCAACACTTTGTCCGTCGGCACATTAAGGACTTTTGCCGGGCAAAAGAGGCAATTTTTGTACACACCCTGTAATATTTTTGCAACAATTGTAGCGTATTTACATTTCTGTAGTAGCTGAACTCTAAACATATGACACTAAAGTATGAACTTTGAAACAGAAACGCATAAAAGCAGCATATAAGAGTATTTATCTTTTGACCACACCCTTAAAGAGTGAGACACGCCCTTTTTGTTGGCAAAAGGGCTTCTTTACCCCTCCAAAAATTCCTTTTGTCTCCAAAAATCCCTCCAAAAATTTCGATTATAACTACATTCCATATGTTGAATTGCCTTCTTTCGAAGTAACGAAGTTTTATCATTGTCCGTACTTTAGTTTATTTTCATCTTTTGTGGTTCGTCATGTCTTTTCATTCTATCACTTGGCAATTGACGGACCTCTACTTTGCAACTCGGTTTTTCAAACCATTCCTTGTTGATTTAACTTTGTCGGTTAATCGGCTAGTTTAAGCTTGAACGAAGTCCGTACTAAAAACTCCGCCATTATCCTATTAATTGTTCAATACGTTCTATTTTAGGGCTGCATTTACCCGTGTATGTATGCGATATGGAGCAAATGGGCTCCTCCAATGGAACGAAGCAAATTGTCAACGGTCCCTCACGCAGGTTCGTTAGATTTCGTTTTTGGTATCATGGTTCGTGCCAGCGTCTTAAGTCTTTCCTTTACCTCAAGCACTCAATCTTGAATGTAACAATCCACAATGGATTATTCTTCTGCATATCTTATTTTTCAAAGCAGATTTAGGTCAGTCACAGAATTTCGACATCACCAAATGAAAAACGCATTATCTTGAATTGTAGTTGCTAATTATTTATTTACGTGTTAAATCTCTACGTTTGTGTGTTTCTTTTCAGAATTGTTTTTTAAACTAATTTACAAATTTCAAATAATCCCCAATGATTCCGTAACAAAATTGTCTTAGTGAAATTGTTATGTTTCATTATTATCATTTAAGCAAAACAATCGCTGCTTTTTGTAAATTTTAACCTAATCCCTACATTCAACAGCATAGAATAATAATGGTGGTTACTGCTATTACGACGCTTGCAATTATGCGATTATGATTATGTTGATACTTTATTCTAATTCCAGGGTCATATGCCGGATCAGTAGCAGGCACTCTGGTTTCCGGAATTTTATGCGAACTGGCTGGATGGTCTATTGTTTTCTACATATTTGGTAAGATTTCCATATAGCATGAAAGCGGCCCTTTCTTACTTCACGTATTCCACAGCTTCTCTGACTAGAACGAGGGTAGTGAACGTTCCCGTTTGTAACCTTGTAGGCGTACTGTAGTTTGTAGTTTGTAAACTTAACCCTTTCATCGTACTCTTGCCCTGCTTTTTGCCGCCCTAAGTTGATCCAGCCCCGTTTCTAAAGTAATGTCCCTGTCCAGTTCGCTATTCGAGGCACATCGCAGGCCCTTCTCCACCATTTGAAAGCTCTTTACCAACTTAGTGATAAAATACTGCCACATTGAGTGACTGATTTTAATTGCAGCTTTTACCAGCCAAAGATTTATCAAAATAACTTTTGGCCTAAATGCCTAGTCACCACAGTTACCAAAAACCAATGATGGTGTTCTTTTTTTGAAAGCGGTTTTCTTAAGCTTATCACCTTTTCCTGGTCGCCGTTAGTCGCTCCACCATTCTTATAACGGTTTGGTTCATGTCCAGAAGACTATTTATACTCAGTCGCTCGAAATTATTCTTAGATTACTATAATATCCAGTTTTGTCACTGGCCTTTTTACAAACTCCACTAGACTACACATGCGGGTATTTTCGAAGAAAAGTAAAACAGAAGCAAAGCCCCTTGCCCCAAAGTCTCATAAATACATATATTTCATACTTTCATTTTGGATATACATATTTACACATATTTCATAATTTCATAAATACACATTTGATACTTTCAACTGGACATTAATTTTGTAAATTCTAAATTTCCCTTCTAATAACTTTGCAATATTGTTCTAAAATGGTACCCATAATTATGCATATGTTTTCAAGTGGTACCGAATCTACCGATAACTCCCCGCATGTTTTAAAAACTGATACCGATAATGCCGCACTTTTCAGAAAAATGGTACCCCTAATTAATGGCACGCCCCCGTATTTCAAAGCTATTAAGTTATCCTCTCCCGGGGAGCACTGAGTGGGAGAGTGGGGTAAATTGATTTTTCTTCAAAATATTCTGCTGCTCGTTACATTCTATTTCTTGCTTTGGTTGTAGGCAGTTGTTTCATTTCTTTAATGAAAGCTGAGCGTTGGAGAACCATAATTGCGAACCGTGGCAGTTGATCTTCTTCTTAGTTTAGAGTTTTTGTACGCAATGCAATTTAGCAAAGAAAATGTCACAATCCTGTAACAATAGGCATTCATATAAAGCAAGGTGGATCAGCTGTGTGGATTTCCTCATGAATAACATCGTTTAAGTAAATTGCTTTGCGGATTATGCTTCTTCCTGGTAGGAAAGAACTTGGTTTCACTATATTTATAAAGTGACACTGTTGAGAAAGTTCGTGTATTGAAAGGAGCATTGTCTATGGGTTATTCGGTCGCGTTGGGAATTTTGTTCCATCTGTTTTTGTGACAAATTCTACGGGATGAATTGTGAAATGCTTGACCTTCTCTCATTATTGGTTTTGCTGGCCTTTTAAAATATGCTAATTTCGGGTTTTGTTCGATTCTGCGCCATTTCTTTATACAAATAGGGTACTAAGGTTTAAAGAAAAAATCAGAATTGAAGAAATTCATTAACTGATACTTAGTAGATTGAGAAATAATAAACATCTTTAATATGAATTGGTAAAAAGCAGTTGATCAAGTGGTTGATATTTCTGACCACAGAGATCAGACAATTTAAAACGTTTTAGAACCTCTAACCACTTTCTACGCATAATGTACAGCGTAGGTCAATTGGACATCTATTTCTCAAGAAATTAAGAATTTTTCTTTTTCTACAAGATACGCTGTTTTGCGTATGATGAATATGATGGCATTGTTCTATGTCAACTGGCCAATTAATTGCATTGGCGCCCAACGTGGAGGTGCTGCCTCCAAAAACTTTCGTGATTGGCCAGTAATTTGGTGAAAAGGATGGCGAGAGAGACGGGGAGAAGGGTGGTTATGCAATGATTGGATCCAGAATAATTTTTTGCGCTCATATTATTAATGCGAATTCCTGGTGAGGCTAAACCTCGTCCCCATTCCCACCATCAGCCGCAATCCATTCAGCTTTTACTGGCCTGAGTAAATAGCGTTTATGATGTTGGTTTATGATGTCGGGTTTATGACCAAAAATGAAGCAACTCCAACATTCAGTTATTCCTACTTCTATTTCTGATTGCATTTGCCTGAATTTTCTATCTTAATGTCTTTCTAGGTGCACTTGGCATCATATGGTCGTTTATCTGGTTTTTGGTTGTTGTCGATGCGCCAAGTTTGGACCCGACCATATCTGACGAAGAGCGAACATATATAGAAGACTCGTTAAAAGATGACAGAGTTTCACAAAAGGTACCTTGAACGTTTACTTTCACTATTCAGCAAGTACAATGGGCAATTATTTTCTTTTTTTCTCTTGCTAGCCATGCTATTAACAGCTAAAAACTAGAGAAAAGGCGACTCTTTAGTAAAAAACGACTTTTATTTGACTGTGTATAGTTGTTGACTCGAAGTTATTGTTGAACTTCCTCACGTTGAAGTAAACTGCAACATTGACTTCGAACCAACTTATTAATACAACTGAACATAAACAAGCAATATTCGTATATGTATATGCTTAGAGCTGGTTGATCTAAAAAGTTCTTATTGCTTAGTTAGCGTTATTAGTGCTGTGTCATGACTGAGTAATGCTTAAAAGATTGGCCTAACGGAATTACTGGGATAATCCACTATGTTCTAATTTGAAAGTTCTAGTAAGATTGTACTTCCAGGATATAGTTTCTTTACGTCAAGCGTTTACAAAGAAGAATAGCAAGCAAGAATGTTTATGTTCGTCTTAAATCTGAAAATTCTTACTGCCCTGCTTCAGCGCAAGGTTTCTGCAAGCAAGTCGATCAAACAGACGACGAAGAAACGTTTGCTTTTTACCTCCCAGGGCTTGATCCCGATTGCCCAACAGCCCAGAACTGCTTTACGCTATTGACTGAAGATTTACCACTTTCTTTATTAATTCTTTATTTCAGGTTTTAAAGCCTCCATGGATGAAGTTCATGACGTCAGTGCCTTTTCTTGCAATTCTGATAGCACACACTTGCGAAGGCTGGGGTTTCAGCACAATGCAAACCTGCCTGCCTAAATACCTGACGGAGGCCCTTGGAATGAGAATCGTTGTTGTAAGTGGATTATTGCAGTGATTTTGATTTGATTGCCTATTTCTTTACAAGCTTCTCTTTTTAAATCATTCCATTTGCTGTAAAGATATGCTTATCAGGGTAGTCTCTTAATGGTAAACCACAGTCTGAAAAAGTTGATTTTCTATCCTGTTTTTATTTTGGTTTTACGTGAAAACTCGTTGTATCTTTTGCCTTGGTTCAAGCAAAGTATGAGATGACAAGGCAGCCCTTTTCATAACAACATAGATTAATGAAGACATGTAATTTGAATTTATTTTGCGCTGTCAAAATTAAAAAATTCACGAGCTGTGCCAAGATTTTGCAATAATCTTCCGTATCTTGGGTTAGAGTCTGAATGGAATTTTTTTGTGGGTGATGTTTCTAAGAAACCCGCCGATCCATGCTCAACCTCACATACCTTATCAGCGCTACGCAATAAGTACTTTCTATTGACTGGATTGACTATTTACCGAATTTAAGTAAAAATTAGTTGTAAGCACAGCGGCTTCTGCACTTTCACTTACTGACACCAAAAACTTTATTCAATTTTCTTTGTTTTACTTTCACGGTTTGTATAAACTCAATATGCCGAAAGAGGTTCGTGGTTTCTTTTCAAAACGACAATCCTTTGACTGATGTTAGAAAAGTTTACAAAAAGTTCTTGTGACAAAATGAGTTTACAAATGAAAGATGTTTGCAAATACTGCGATTTCTCCAACACTTTGTGTTTATAATCTAGATTGTCGTCTCAGCAGTCAGTTTTTCCAGTATTTTGAGAATTTCCAGGAGCAAAGTTTTGAGAAATGCGAGCCACAAATTTATTCTGACTCGAAAAATTTACCTCAAAGGAGGAGGAATAGAGCAATAGAGGAGAAAATGTTTCTATAAACAAGAAATTTGGACAATTCTCTACACTTACTCCTTAACTCCTAAAGCTCAATTTCCATAAGCACTGTAAGCCTAAAGCACTGTTTCTCTCAGAAATATAAGCTACAATCGTGGTTGTTAGATATGTAATTCTATTATCTACGCTTTGAAGTGTAGAACAGGACGGTCCTAAGTTGCAACGCCATGTTTTACGCTTTATGCGATCATCAACTTGTCTCTACCTATACGACTTCAATCAATATAACAAACCGATCAAGTAATCTTTCTATTGTTGCTCAAATCTTCTGTGGATGATCTGAATCATCACCATTGCTCTTTTCGTTACAGGCAGGTGTATACTCCGCCATTCTCTATTTTATGATGGGCGTCGTTGTGTTATGTGGAGGTCAGCTTGCAGATTTTGCTCGCTTGCATGGAACAATAAGCACTACCAATATAAGAAAATTGTTCACATGTTTAGGTCAGTTAATTCTTTCCATGTTTAGATTAGATTCCACCTGATTGTTAGTCTCGCCTTTCTTTAGACAGCACACATGTGCACAATTTGAACTCTCTAAGGAAGGCCGGCAGCCGTGGTTAAGTTTATTTAATGCAAAATTGTCAATTTACCCTATCAAACGCAGACATAGATCTCCCTATATTTCTTGAACTTAATGTGTTCCTACAAATTCCTAGTGGATGAATCGGGTTCTCAACCTTCGGACCGAAGACGACATTCGATGATAATGAAAAATCCCATTGTGCATATGTATAATTCGCCACACTAAAAGTATTTACAACTTATAAAAGCTTAAAGGAATATAATACAATAATTTGAATAAAAAGCAAATGATAAACACCCCTAATATCAGTGATAGCATTAAAACGACAAGCTGACCATATTACCACATCTATCTCTCTGTGAACTCAGTTATGTTCTGAACAATTCCATTTCGCAAGATATCATATATGTTCATTCTTCTGGTGTTTAATATCATTTAATAGTCATAGAAATGTCACTTGGATGACACACCTAAATGGTTTAAATGTTTGGCTTTTACCACAAATCTATTCTTTCAAAACTTGAATGCGTTGGAAGAATACCCCGAGCAGTTCAACTATTTTCCTTTCAAATAGTTTGGCCTAAATGAAAAGGCCTTAGCGGTGAGCCTGTCTTTTACATATGTTAAATTTTTATCTCCATTCAGGATTCTTACTGCAAGCGCTGGCATTCTCGGCTTCTGTAAATTTTGCTAATATTCACGCCAGCGTGATTGTTCTCGTGGTTGGCGGGGGCATCGAGGGGCTTGCCTGGGCTGGGTTTGCTGTCAATCACCTCGATATTGCACCTCGATATGCAAGCATTCTTTTTGGTATCACAAATACCTCTGCTACGATTCCTGGTATTCTAAGTCCCTTGGTAGTTGGTTATATAACTCAAGATAAGGTGACTATAATAGATTGTTTTTCTGTCCTCTAAACAATCACTCTTCCTCGATTTTCGTAGTGTTGTTTATTTTTATCATCGAGAGGATTTCAAAAATCAGAAATTCAAATTCCCCCATTTAAATGAATTTCTACTTTTTTGCTTGTACTAAAAGCTTACCCTTTATCGTGTCGTCCTTTTTCTGTATGCATTTTAAAGAATGTACATACTTTGATTCATTGTGACAGGTTTATAAGAAAACTAACCTTGCTTTTGGAAATATTTTGATAAATTAGACAACCCGCCTTGTAAGTCCAAAGTGAATCTGGCCAAATATAGAATTTGTTCATAAGTTTGAGTAGAACCAAATAAGAACATTCCTGGAAGTAAGATGGAAGCAAAAAGAGTCCTCAAGGATGTTTGCAACAAAAAGGTACCTTTCTAGGGTTCTAGTACTTTACATCGAGCTAGTCATCAAACTCAAAACTCTCACTTAAGAATTATTATTTTCCTCATTTTTGAGACTCTTACGTCTATGATAGAGGGTATCTAGATTTCAAATTACCGATATAAGTTTAACAATCCATAAGGATAAATGCAATTTTGTGTTCTTTAAAATACGCTCGTATATTGATGCCACGTTAATGTATCTTCGATATTCTCATAAATAAAGACATAATATTCACGTGTTTTCGTCCAATCAGACAAAGGCCGAGTGGCACTTGGTTTTCTACATTGGCGCGGCCACTTTTGCTGTTGGCGCGACTGTTTATGGCCTATTTGCATCAGCCGAGAAACAGGAATGGGCCGACTACGATGGCGATGCTGACTACAAAATAATAAGTGACGAAGAAAGAGAATAAACTGCTTTTTCTGTATCATAATGTTATTTCTCTAGTTTTACACTTAGTGGCTGTTTTTTTGTACTCATCTCGTATATTTGATACTTCTATAGATGCAATTCGATAATAATGCCTTGTTTAATTAAATGACTTTCGCGCTTTAAAATCCCTTCTGGTAGCTGATCCATTTGGATCGTATCTACCTCGAAGCAGTTCTCTACACTTCGTGGTTGGAAAACAAGCCACAACGTTTTTCACCTTTGGTATAAAGGACAGCTGAATCAAGGCGCAGTTGAAATACTCTTGTGACTTTTGGAACAAAGCTTTGCGCATGCTACAAAATTTTTCCAAAACAATTAAACCAAGCAGTCGAGGATAATCTGGTCTGCCGTCAGTCGTATTTTCAAGTAATCAGCTATGTTCTAGCGGTATTCGATGCTGGCAAGGTTTAGTCAAACGAGACAGGTGTGTCGTACTTGTTTTGACGTTCTAAAAATATATCAGAGTATTTTTCATATGAACATGATATTCAAGCTTGCATTTCTTTAAAGTTGCTCGCTTGTCTTTGTGCAGGACTCCCGAAATGAGTTGAGCATGTCTTTTGAAGCAGTAGTAGATCTCCATGCCAAGTAGAGGATATTAGATGCCCTCAGTCCGTTTGAGCAAAGAATTTAGTTGGCTAGTTGGCATTACTCTTTGGAAAGCTTAAACTGTTGCTAGACTCGTCAGGTCTTTTGAATGGTATGATATACCACGTTTACTCCCGTTAGAACAATCCCCTTGGTTAAAACTGTCCACCGATTGGGGAGTGGCCATCAGTTCACAAGGTTTTGAGGCTTCGCGTGGCATTAATATATTCAGATTACGCAAGAGAAAATGGAGGCGGTTTTGTTTGATTGGTTCAAATGACGAGCTATATTCCTGTCGCTAACTTTAGCTTAAATATGAAGTACTTAACTGCTTATATGTTCTAAAGTTAACCCAACATAACTATTTTCGTCCAATTTTTTCTCACGCATTATCATATAACTGCATTTCGTTCCAACTGGCATCATAAATGGTTTTAGATACTTTCCCCAGACAATACATCGGTCCCTTTTGCTTCTGAATATAAACTGATTGGCATATTTAGCGAAGACGAATTTCAGCTAGATTGTTGTAAATACTTTCAATTATCAGTAGACTTTTAACAGGGGCGAAGCCAAAATAATTTTTTAGAGGGGTAAAGAAGTGTTTTATGTCAACAAAAAAGAGCGTGTCTAACTTTTGAAGGGTGTGGTCAAAAGATGAATACTCTTATATACTGACATAAAAATTAATACCTTACAATTGTTGAAAAAGGTTCCAGGGTGAGAACAAAAATAGCCTCTTTTGCCTGGCAAAAATCCTTAATGTACCGCACAACCCCCATACCCCTCCCTTTGGCGACGCCCCTGACTTTTAACATTTGTCATTAGACCTATACCCTTACAATCTCAGAAACTTTCAGTTCACACGCTGCATCGTAGCAGTTAAATTCTAAGGAGAGACAGAGCGACATATTTTTCAACAAATTTTCTGTACTTGAAGACAGTAGCATAAATACGTGGCAAAAGTGTACAAGAGAAAATCCCCCCAAATCCCAGGAAAAGGGGGCCCCTAGACTTCCCTTAGTCACGAACCCCCTATATTCACGTGTTTTGGAACATGGCGTTTGGCTATTTTGAAGGGAGACAAATAACTATTTCTCTTTCACCACCAATTTCAAATTTTTTTCAGCATTAGACTCAACGACAGTAAAGCGTCCAGAAAAGGGCACCTCTTTATTAGTTTACAGTACGCTACTCAGATATATTTTGAATTTGACCTGTTAAGTTGAGCTCTCAGGAAATCCATTTTAATTTGAGTTCTAAGTTTCTAAGCTTCTTCCTATCTTCTCAGAGGGTTACCACAAACCATAAAGTTTTCATAGATACACAGTTCAAAGTTAGTATTTCTGGGTTGATTCCTACTTGCCTGAGGCATGTTGGTACTTGGCATAATGTTCAACGAGCGCATGGGTCTAGCCTCAGACTCGTGTGACGATGCGAATTCTGTGTGACGGACTTACTGAGTTCTCAAGTAATGACGTCACAAAAATCGCTTATTAAATATTTTAATTTGGCTGAAAGGCCTCAAAAAAGCATCATGAAATCCCTCTAAATGTGCAAAATCAGTTAAACATTTTACGAATTTGCTGGGATATGGCCATATGAGTACCCGCTCTTTCCCCATCAGACCTCTGTAATTTGGTCCCTGATCATAACTTTATAAACAGAGCCAAAGTAACAGCAATCCATTAGAGAACTGGAAATCTTTCATGGGACATTTCTCCCTCCCGATTTTTGGCATATTCAGCTGATTTTGCATATTTAGAAGTTTTGAAAGTGTTTTTAGGTTATGTGTTCAAAATTAAAAATTCTAAAATAGATTTTCTATGATGTCTCACTTAAGATCTCTGTTGGGTTGGGACTTAATTTCCACCAGCTACTGGTCCGTATTACTGTTCCAACTCTCGTCATTGGTGAAAGGTATGGAGAAAAGTCTTGATCTTGTTTTCATTGTTAACTATAACACTCTACAAGGCTCTATGGAGTTAAAGCTGGCGATTTTTGAAATTTATCAAGACAGTACCGTTCAGCACATCTTACCTGTACTTTACACTATTCAACTCTTAACAGATAAGTTAAACATACCTTTGCAACATTTATAAATTATTTTGTTACTTTCTACACACTATGCTACTTAAAGGTGCAAGAGAATTCCCCAAGGCTCCTTGATAGCAAATAAAACCATTTGACCCCATTAAGATCGAGAACATATTCATCACACAATATATACCTTGATTAATTCGCAATACCCAATCTAGTTTGGTTGCACGTCATCTCTGAACATGCTAGCCATGATCCAAGATGATTAATTCTAAGAAGAACTCTTTTCCTTGAAAATCACTAGTCGTCTTGGGACAATCTTTTTTCATATTTCAAGTCCCTGTTTTTGAGAAGGCTTTCATAAGATAGATTCGTTCTCCATTTTCAGCCGTCATTAGTGGCGCTTTCTTGTAATGCAAAATAAGTTCTTCCATTGATCTGAATGTACGCTGGCCAATAGAAAACAGTTCATCGTCTTTCTTTATTCGGAAGTGTTTCACTTTACTTGGTGCTCTTATTGACAACGAGTAATCACCAGCCTACAAATTGAGACAAACACTTTGTAATTGCAGAAAAGTTTCACAGAATTGAATTCCAAGTTAACGATTCTGTTACAAATGCTGGTGGTGGCGGTGTAATTGAATTGTAAACGATGATTGCTCGTTCACTCGTTCGATGATAAAAGTCTACTGAAAATTTATGTTATCTTAGCCAAGCAACACAGATGGACTTTATAGCAACGAGCGCCATTCATGACATTTTGACTAATCATACAGTAGAAACCCGCATAAAAGAACCAGTTTTTATAAGAACCTTGAGGTTGAAATTTAATCTTTTAAACCCCATAATTAAGAACCCCCAAAAGGGTGAAATTTGGAAGGTCCTATATATATATATATAAAAAGGGTTCTTAGAGTGGTATTTTTACACCCTATTCACACCGGCAAATTGATCAGCTTAGAGTTAATTCAGATTTTGGTAGTTGCATTCTATTTGGACAATCTAACAACACAAATTCGTTTGATTGATTGAAGTTTAACATGAAAAAAAAGCTGTTTTAGGTGTGTCCGTTAGAATTCTTGCGGTGGAAAACATTGTTAATGTGTGCAAGGCCTGTACGTATATAAAAACCTTGTTAAAGCCTTTTATACTGGAATTTAGAATAGCAGCCTGTTAATTAAGAACCTATTCAGGTTGCCAGAAAAAAACCTAGGTTCTTTTATGCGGGTTTCTACTATATCTCCCTATTCGTGCGAATCTTGTTTCTATGAAAAGAACATCTCATCTGTATTTCAACTTAACAATGCTTTCAGGCAGATATCGTTGTTATTTGGCAAGATATCCAAGTTGGAATCTTTCGAGAAAAGCTAGCAATAGAAGAGTGCAGAAATTTCAAGTAAATATCGAGATTTTTACCTTGCTTTCACTTTCTCGTAGCAGAAAATCACCAGCCATTCCATAATCCAGCAGCATGTGCTCACAATCGTGCCTCGAAATTGATCCATGAAACCATTCAGCATTTACAAATGTGCATTCTGTTTTGAAGTTCCTCGAGTTCAATGTTAATGAGGATCCACTCAAGTAGCTGTTTATCTCTCTGACGTAATTTCTCGGTACCAGTCCTATTTCACCACGCATTGTTCTAGCTTTCCACCAATCGGGATCGTCCTTTGGTTTCTCAATAATATCAAGAACAATATCTTTATCGAAAGAAAGCTCTTCGTTTGACTGTGATTGGAATGTATACAGTGTCTTCACTCTGCAAATGGCATCACGGCAGAGGTCTTGGTATGATGGTAATAGGTCATCTGGGAATGCATAGTCTGGGGTAGTTACTTCAACTTCGCAATCGACATAATTACAAGGGAACCAGCCCACTTTGCCGTTGCTCTCCCCTTGCCACCAACCGTCTCTCTCCTTTCCTATTAGATAAACTTTATCACCTTTCTGCAACTCAAGCTCATCACCTCTGGTTGGCGTGTAATTGTACTTTGCAAAGAACACATCACTTCCTTCTCTTTTGAATTTCACGGGGGTACACGGAGCTGTAAGGTGTTCTATTATCATATTATTATTGAACTGTGATTTTGTCTGTTTACCCCCCATCTTCTGATTTTGACGTCTGCTGAATCTGAAGTTTATCCTGAGAAATTTGTACAGATCCCTATTGACTATGATTCTGCTAAATTCGATCTCCGTGGAGGTTCATCAAATATTTACCATCTTTCTTTTAGGTACTGAATCACTTTGATTTCTGATTACTTCCTGTTCCCGTAAATTGTGACTGAAAAGAAACAGATATGATTACACAAACAGGTAAATTTATCACTTATTTTGACTGTCAGAAATTCAACATAACTTTTGTTTGGGAGCAGAAGACAGGCTAAAGATTTCAATGATTGAGGAACCTTATCAGTCTTCTTACGGACATGAAGCATGCGCATTAAACTCAAATATTTTAGTGCATGCTCTTTGACCGTAAGAGCGGGGGCTGACTAACTCATCATCTTCATAACTTTTGCTTTTAACAACAAAAGGGTTGATTGACTATGATACAAAATAGACTCAACGTCTCCCCAACACCATCTTATACAGTTTAGACAAAAACATAAGGTTAGCTTGTAGAATAACATGCAATTTGTAAGAGAAGAGGTCCAGGTTGAGAGAGATTGGTTCATCAGATTTTAAAATACATATGACAGCCTCTCATCTGCCCATTTAGACATTTTTATAACAAGCAACCCATGTTTAAGGGTCCGAAGTAACTCCTCTGGCATTTTCTTTCTTGCACGTTTTTCTTCGTGCTCACACAATGACTCTCTTGCTGGATTAAGCGCATGGTTAAAATCATTCTGAACTTTGAATTTCCCAAACTATGACCTTGGTAGAGATTTCATTGCATGACACAGTCATGCATGACACAAATATATCCTTTACGTGAACTGCACGTAAACTTCATGTTCTATTTGTCCGTGGTACTGGTAGAGAGGCAACTCATTCTTGTAAATTGTGTACAAGATTTCCACCAAAACAAACAAATTTGTAGGAATTTGCCGATAAAACATAAAACTTCTACCAAAGGTGTACAAGATTTCCAAGTGATTTACCCCCCTCCCCCCTCGATCGGTTTAGATAGAAAGTGCCGAAGTTGCATGCTCGAGCGCGGTGCAACTAACGTTTTTGACGCTCACTTCCAGTCCACCTTAGACCTTATCTCATCAAGCTGTTGCCCAATTGTCCACCCTGTTTGGCACTGCCCCCACGTAAACCTGCCCAGTTAAACCACAGTGAGTTAAACCTTTCATTAATTTGTTTTAATACGAATGGCTGCAATCAATAAATTGCATTAATGCTATCAATACTCAGGTTTTCAATCAAGGCGTTCTTCAAAAAAGAACCTCCATCAAAATTAATCCAGGCTCAAGACTTAATATAAGCAATGTGAAAGACTAAAGAAAACAATGGTGCGTGACTATCAAAGCTAAGTTTTGCTATGCATTCTCTTCTTACCTCTTTCCTTTTCCTCTCTCTTAATAAGTCTTAAGCATTTAAGTCCTTGACCATTAACATCGAACTGATTTCAAGGCACCCATGGTAAATCTAATCCGGCCAAAGTTTTCTGATATCAGTCTTTATTTTACGCAAGGAAAATGAAAACAAACAGCTTTCCTGTTTTGAGGGAATTTCTCTATGTTGTCAGTCGCTCTAAATGCTTTTTAATAAGCAATAAACACCGAATACCATGACAACATTACGAATATGACAGTCGTTACCAAAGCACCCTCTGTTGTGTTCTCATGACTCGGGTCCGTCCGACCAGCAACGGAGAGAGGCAATCCATCTTAGAGCAGAATTACAGATGCTTGTGAGAACTGGAACTGTTGGGGGTGAATATCTGAAGCTAATCAAATAAAGACTCTTTAGAAGGATTAGAGAAATAAAGAAGAAAACACACGACGCAGAAGTTTCACCCTGTGTTTGAACACGTGTTGGCAGATGTTAAAAGAGCTTTCAATAGTTTTAAATTTCCACGAGGCAGATTAAAGATGTCAAGAAAGCTACGAGAAACAACAATCAATAAAGACGTGAACGAAAGAATCTAATTAGTATTCTAACGTTTCATAGAAATACCTTGCCTCAGCAGCCAATGATTTACGATTTGTTATGACCGGAGAATAAAGCCAAAAATTGGATTGCTGATTATTGATCACCTTAAATAGTCTGGTGATGCCCACAGAATTTAGGACGGTTTAATTTCCTGCTTCTTAAAACAAAATTATGCACATCGTTTGCAACAATCCTTGAAATATAATAGAGTTTTATGGTTCTGTGTTTGGAAAATAAATCTGTTAAGCAGGCTTGGCTTATTGAAACGCGGATGTAAATGATTCATCGCCCTGCCCACACCCTTCTCTTTCTAAGGGGATTCTCAAATGAATCTCCGCCGCTGTCCACACCCCTTTCTTTGAAAGGACATTCCCTAGTAATTCTCTTTCCACATTCCCTTTTTTCTTTCTCATAAATCTAGAATTTGATTTTCACAGCGTTTCCATCTGTCGCAGAAAAGGACTAGCTATCTCAGGAATCGCAAATTACATTGACTGTTGATGTGCCTACAACAGTAATTAGAAAATGATTAAATCATTTTATGTCTAGAATGATACAGTTAATGGGCTTTTAAAAAGTTTATTATTTGTGGTTTTTTATTACAGTCATGCAACAATAAAGGGTTGAGTCGAATGTTATGTAAATTTTACCATTTAACGGTATTGAACCCGACAGGCAGCTTAGCCGTCAAACCACGTTAACAAAGAGACTATGATTGTTTAAAACGAAATGTTGCTAGGATTAGAGAGATGTTCATCCCCATTATCAGCCCATCGTGGGAATGGCAGGGTGTCCAACAACATCGTATTGTCCTTAGTTTCCTCTGCAGCTGAAACTAAAATGTAGTCTCTAAAGCTTCAGACAATTATTGTTATTATTAACTCATAATAAACCCTGCGCTTAAAGTTGAAGTAATACTCTCGTTATAGACATTATCTTTGTAGAAATTTAACCTAGAAATGTGATGACCAATATTGACTCAGGAGCACATTAACTCACATTAGATGGTCCTAAATTTTATACAGCATTATTCAAATATTTGGCATGATTTAGCAGCAAATAGAATTCATAAACGTTCGTTAACTGATTGTCGAGAGAAAGATGTAAATACGAATTACTTGTCGACCTCAATAGACAGCTAGGATATTTTCTGCATTTAAATACAAAATGGCTGGGTTAACCACGAAATTCAAGTCGTTGACATCTTAAACCGAGGATATCTATCTATCTAGGAACCGCCTCACGTCTTTTCTTCCAATCTTCTCAATATCCCTCAACGGAATGCAGAAATCTGCAAATCCGCGCGAAAGATTTTGTTAAGCCACAACTGTTTATCGAACCCAACGCAACACTCAAACGCACTGCCATGATTATAAATGGAATTATTATTCAGCCAGAATTTGTTCTGTTATTGTTAATGAGCATTTCGCCATTTTAACAAATTCGATTCTTTCATTTTCGTTATTGATAAAAACAATACCCTATTTTGATATGAAAGCTCAGTCGAAATCAGCACAGTTTCTGAAACATGCTCTAAAACTTGCGATTAATTTTGCTAGAATGAACTGATAGACAAAAAGACGTTGAAACATGCTGAAAATGCAACAAAATCGAAGATAACTTACCTGGAATCATGTTGTAGTTTGTGTGAAGAGACAACAGCTGCTAGCAACCCTCAGCAGAGTATTCACCTGAATTCCTTTATCGCCTTCTTTTATATAAAGCGCGTTCAATCGAGTGTTCACTCGGTCTGTGTAACATGTGATTGCGTCTCGGTTATCCCAAGAGGATTTGTGACGCAGTACTCGAACGTAAGTCCTCCAGTTCCTGCCTGCACTCGTGAAAGTCTAATCCGTTTACAACAAACTCTGAACGTAACACTTCTTATTTGTGAGCGTTTTGTTTTTACTTTCGAATCGTAGTTGAAAGGACAGCAGTTTGTGCCCAAAGAGAGGCGGCAAAATGCATTCTTGACAACCAACAGAGTTTATACATAACAGACAATGAAAATATAAAGTGGTCCAAGTTCAAAGCAAGGTTGCTAATACTTTCATTGAGGCAACGCTGCATGTGAAGGGCAACCCTGACGATGTTTACTTGTCCGGTGCATAGAACCTTTTGTCTGCAGATTTTGTTTATTTTTACCGCTAAGTCAATAATGCATTGGAAATTTAAACAAGGCAACCGACAAAGGAGCAAACCCACGACATTTTTAATACAATCATTTAAATTCTTTGTGACTTTTTGACACAGTTTGCAGTCCACGAACCTGGAGGCCTATTACAAAGTATTCTTGCAGTATGCAGGTAGATTATAAGGTATTAATAGATTGCAGATTTTTATCTAGCACTGTCGGTTACTGTAGTTACCAGAAGTTGAATTTAGATTGATTCATGGGTCATGTCCATATAATGGAAGGAGAGGGTTCGGTTTTACTCAAAGTAGTTCTAGCTACGTGAAGTAATAAACTGAATGATGACAAAATTAGATGTAAAAGCAATATTATAAAAAGGGCCTTCCTTCCTCATTTCTGTTTTTTCTCGTGCCACAGAATGGTTAGAAAGCATGATTCTTCTCATAGCACCCTTGCTCTCCGTATAGTTCATTGCCCCCCCCTTTAGCATACACCTGCGCATCTACAACTCTTGCCAGAATAGGTGGATCACAAGGGATTGGCACTTCTAGAAGCCACACACACACAGAGACTGCACGCATGATTACACCCTGTACACCTGCATTTGTGTTACAGATTCTCTGTTGTATAAACGAAATAATTCAAACTATTCACCGACCAAGGTTGATATAAATTGCTCATTCGCGGAAAATCATTCGTATAATGAAGGGTTATGTTAAGTGCGAAAATATTCAGCTGGACAAACTTTCGGACAAAGATTTTGCATAAACTGCGCATGCGCAATGTAGATTGACTGATGTAACGGAAATCAAATGATATCTGAATCTGCATTCCATTCCTACTACAAAATAAAGCCAAAAGAAGGTTGCAATCTTAGAACTTAGTGACTTTAAACAGAGTGACTATCTGTAGTAACCACGATATGCAAAAGTCATCAAGCTATTCTAGAGAGAGTGTCGCAAGCATATTGGTAGTCTTGCACCCATCCCATGCTCGGTAGTCGGTACTTGCACCCATCCAATGTTCAATTTTGCTTTAGAACTCGCGCATTTCCACTATGAAAACAGTTCGTTTCCAAAATTGGAAATGATCAGGAAAAACTTATGAGACGATCCCGATATTCTGTAAGATAAGCAAGATCAAAATCAGCTTAGGCCAACAGCTCGGCATCGTCCAAAACTGACTTATCGCATTCTTGGGACAATACCGAAAATACCTCGCCTTGTTCATTTACATTTCCATTTGTGTTCGGTTCCAACCAGAGTCCAAAATTTGGAAACTTGAGGAAGTTGAAGAAATCTTATTGCCTATAGGTATTCAAATACAGTAAGACAAAGAATTTAAAAATAAAATAAAATAGGTTTGTCTTTAAATTGCTTTGTCTTAAATTTCTCTAATTTTCATATCTTTGGAATTTTGGAATCTTTTTCTCTTCTCTGCTTTTATGATTCTTCTTGGTAAAAAATTTCGTGTCTCGTGACGGATTTTGTGGATTCTGGTTTACCATGAAAACGACATTTCTTCATACCCCCGGTTGTGAAAGATCGTCAAAAAGAATACGTCGTTCCCTGCAAGGCACGGGGGTATCCTTCGAATAAGATACGGACATTGTTTTTATTGCATGTCTACCATGATGCATTTCAAGCAAGAAATGCATCTATGACGAATGTTGAAGATTTTCTTCATTTCAACGACCCTGTGCAAAAGGCAGAGACTGGCCTGAAAATTTTGAGAATATAGATTCCTAATGAGTTCAAATATGCAGAAACGCAAGGACAGAGACAAACGAACATCACATTCGCGTTTGTGAAGTAATATTTCATTAAAGCAGGAACTGAAACAACAAACTACTCAATAACTAAACAAATTAAAACTACAGTGTCTGCTGTTAATGTGTGGCCCTATAGCCTCTTTATAAGGTGGAATAATCTCGTTTATGAGCTTAGTAACGGATAAAACAAGAAAACATTACGGTTATTCAATGTTTCTGCTTAATTTAACACGAATTATCTTAATATTTTGTACTTTTTGTTGGATTACCACAAAAATGTCATAATGCGTCGTATTTTTTTCCAAATTTAGATCAATATTAACAGTCTTCAAATTATTTCCACATAATTTATAATATTTTGTAGTCAAATTTCTATAAAAGATGGCGCCGTCCATTCCAAAAAATTAGCAAAAAGTATTTTGTAAAGTCAAAAAGTTCCTACTTTTTGTTAAGCGGGAAAAAGTAGTATCACCTAACGAATCTGCTAGTCCGAAATTATAGTTGAATTGTGGCCAATCAAATAAATACTTTTAATGCATGGGATTATGAAATCTATCCTACAATTCTATGCACGAAATAGTTGGTAGATATAACAAAATTGACAATGCTTAGTTTTTGAAAACTTTATTATAAAATATTTATAATCTTGAACTTCACTTGATAAAAATAAGAAAAACTCACAATTGGTAATGGCTATGGTTTAATAGATAATGGCTTCCCTTATGAATAACCGTTTTTGATTCAATATATGGTCAATGAGACTTGCAATTTCACAAAAACAACGAATCTGGTTGTCTTACTGGAAAGCTAATAAACTGTCATAAAACACCTTTTCAACGAAATTACATTTAAGTAGCAACCAGCGAGGTAGGGCGCCACATGAGCCCCATACAGAATCTTAATCTTTTCTCCAATCATTCTTTCTTGACAACTGCCTAAATTCCACCAAAAATGACATCACAATACAAGCTTTAGAACTCACAACCTATATCCATGGTTTTTGGATGAAGAAATAAACAAGCCAAAAATCCTTATAGCGACATCTGGCTGTTAATTAAATACGAAAAATTATGGAAATAACACAACCCAAGAACAGCAGACAACAAATACAAAAGACAATTATCTGCGTTGGTGCTACCCCCTCCCATAACAGCGCGTTTTTTTACTGCCCGAAAACATTTCGGCTTTTACTATTGCTCGGCTAAACGGTGAAACGAGATACATTTTATCCCCAGTGTCTGTGGTAAAAATCGGTGACGACTTATAGTGTATAATGAGCTCATTTATAGAGTCGAATGTTCGCTGTCCAATCTTGTACTTCTCGTCTTCAGATTTGATTCTGAAATGCTTTATTCTGTTCGGAGCTTTCATTGACAATGAGAAATCACCAGCCTGCAAAATAATACAATGTATTGAGAAAACTATACAATAGCAAGAAATGGAGGAACAAATATAGACATCATTTCAAAATTGACGAAAGTAATTTAAAACAGATCCCCTTTCTCCGTTCAAACATAATCAATCCCTTTGGTTCAAAGCTGCGCCCAGAGCCCAGAAAACATAGTGGCTGCACGTTCAACGACCGCGAGGAAAGTGAATGGAAAAAAAAGAAACTAAGATGCCACACCCAAACCCCGCCTCGCTTTCTGCGGCAGAAGGTTTTCAGAGCATAAAGGTATTGTTATCGGAGGTAAAATAAACACTTCTAGACTCGGGCACGGGCACGCGAAGCAGAAAAATATAAAAACTTGATCAACTGGAATAATTAATTATCACTGTTTGTTTTCGTTTCGATGGACACAATGATATAAAAATGCTAGAGGCCTTAAACCCGTTTCGAATAAACTATATTCCGTCGAGAGCTTAATTATGGATGCTTAGTGAAAAGCGTCTAAGCCGCCCAGAGTCATAACGAAATAATAAGATTCAATGAATCAGTTGTGCAGATTAGAGCGAAAATATAGATTTCTGCACAAGGACTAAAATCTGTACTTTGGACGCGATCGAGTAGATCCAAACGTTAATATCAAGCACAGCTCATTGGATAAGGACGTTACGGCGCCTTGCCAATATTGTTCTCATTAAGAGAAGGATTTAAGGTGAAGAGAATGAACGTACATAAAAAAGGCCTATTGCAAATCTCAATCAAATCACATCTAAGCTTGTCTTGCGCATCTTTAGGGTAAAAACCTCCTTGCGATCCAGATGTCTCAAATTTTGGTTTATTACATTTGTCAATAAGTTTCACAAAATATAGCAAAATACGAATATTTTAAGAACTTAAAATCTGCATAAATAAAAACTGCAGATTAAGGCTGACGCTTCCCGAATTAGCCAAAAAAGCTACTTAGCCAAAAAGAACCATTTATATAAAGGAGAACCAGTATTATAAAGGTTAGGATCCATTTCAGTCTTTTACAGAGAATCACAGGTTTTTACGGGGGTTTTTACTTTATAGCAAAATTGCTAGCACTATTCATATTCTTATAAGCAATTATATTTGGAGCACCATGGAGCACCTGCTACTTGCTATTCGCATACTATTCTATGCTAAAAAAACTGGTGACCCATCTTTTACGCACTTCATATTTTTCTCAGCCATGAATCAACAGATATAAAGCGCGTAGAGCCTCAGCATGAATTTAAAAGTGTGACACGCGACTTTACACGTCCTAAGGCATGCTCTGTAACAACAGAGGCAGAGACAAATCTTACTAATAAAATGGGGCAAGGAGGCAATTAACCTGTGCGATCAGGTGGTCCAGTCAAATTAATAAAGAATTTTCCTAGCTACGTCATTTTCAACTGGGACAAAGATACAATTAAAAATAAAAAAGGAACCTAACGTGTCTTAGTTGTGAAGGGTCAATCGTGCTTCTCCACGTGTCAGGCAGTGTCTGCCTAACTATAAGAAATGTTGTGTATCATTTAACTGAAGTGTGACTACTTCTGATAAGGAATATTAGCGCAACAAGTAAAAGTGCAAGATTGCTTATACGTGCTTACCCGGCTTTCACTGTCTCGCAGTAGGTACTCGCCGTCCTGTCCGTAATCGTGCAGCAACATTTCACATTCCACTCGCATGAGTTTTCCATGATACCATTCCTCGTTTGTAAATGGATGGTTCTGTACATCTGTTTTTACCGAAGTTACTGGCGTATCTGCTACTTCAGGAATAATCACATCCACTTCTTGGACATAATTTCTTGGAACAAGCCCCACATCTCCTTGGGGGGTTCTCGCTTTCCACCAATCAGGATCATTTTTTGGCTTTTCGATTATCTCAAGCATTATACCCTTTTCAAATGAGAGTTCCTCACTTTCCTGAGAATTAAAAGCATACAGTGTTTGAACTTTGCAAATAATCTGTTCCATCCCGCCATTTTTGAACATTACGTCACTAGGCAAAGCGTACTCAGAAGGAGGCGCGCTCGGCTGTTCCTTCTGTTCGGCAGCATCAACATAATTATTTGGAAACCAGCCGGATTTGCCATTGCATTCTCCCTTCCACCAGCCATCGTTTTCTTTTTCAGTAACTAAAATTTGGTCACCTTTTTTAATATCGAGTTCGTCGTCTCTCTGCGATGCGTAATTGTACTTTGCCGTGCAAATGGACAGAATCTTATTGCCTGTCTTGGGAAGAACTTTATTGCTAGAAGAAAGAGCAGGTTCATTCGTCGATGCCTTACTTCCTGCTTTGCCGCCCATCTTCGTCTTGATCTGCCCCATTATTGTCTTCTTCCCTCCCTTTCGCTCCAGATAATTTGAAGGTACATATCCGGACAAGTTCTTGTCATTTTTAACGCGCCACCACGGCTGACTGTCATCCAACACTGTCAGTTTCTCGTGCTTTTGTATGCTCAGTTCCGTGCCATCTTGTGCCTTGTAGTCGTAAATGGCCACTGCCAAATTCGCGTCTTCTGACATTTTGTGTTTTATAAACCTAAAAGGAATGATCGTTTTTAGACTGTTAGACATTTTCAACGTCAGTTTTCTTCCCATCATCATCAAACGAGTAAAATTAACACTAGAATATTGCTAATGTAGCACCTGCGAGACTTAGGTATATCTATAAATAACCTTTTGTGCCGGGGGTAGCTACTCTATATACCACGACTTTTCAACTACGACCTGGATTTCAAAGACATAAATGAGCAATCCGGGGGTACGGTTGCAGCTTTTCTTTCATTTTCCTGTGAAGTTTCAAACCCACAAGCAGGAAGATGAATAGACAAATGAGTAAATACGGGGGCACTTAATGACATTAATGGAAGCGAGAATTTGCGTTTGAGAGCAACGCGCTTCTGGCATGCATTAAGCATTGCAGGTCAAATGTCTATTCAGAACAAGGTTTAATCAACCTGGAACAAAGCGGACTTCGAAATCCGCCTCCGTTAGGTGATTACGTCATTGCAACATGACTGTGCGACTGTTTTGAAAGACGATGCACGTTAATACTGCTTAGATGGGAGTGGCAAGAGCTTTGTTGGTCAATTTCCGAATTACTGCAATTGGCAACGAAGGGGCTATTTAATGATCCTGCTTTCATAAAACAGCCTTTCAAAAAGACGATTTTTTAGATTTTCTGGCGTTTGTAGACTTGAAAGACAGTCATAGGAAGTCGAAAAGCAAACATAAATTATGACAGGCTGCTAAAAAATGGAGATTGGGCCCGTTGGTAGGACTGGGGATAAACTTGGAAAAATAATACAAGATGAAGTGCACCAGTGAACTAAGGTGAAAACATAAAAGGGAAAATGACAGCGGAACACATTACATAATTTAACGTTTTACCCCAAATTTAATTATTGTGCAGCCTTACTTCTCGAGGACTAAAAGACACAGTGGAACCTCGCCTTACGGCCATTTCGTTAATACGGTCACCTTGTTATTACGGCCACATTTGTTTGGCCCGGAAAAACGGTCATACATAGTCTCATAAAAAATCCCCGTTAATGCGGCCTCCCGTTAATACGGCCAGCGGCCACATTTTGCAATCCCAAACAGCAGGATTCTTAATAATTCCACCCCGTTAATACGGCCATTTGTATTTAGCAAAACTGTAATAAAATCTCAATAATCTCATTCCTTTTACAAAATAACTTTTCATTGTCAAAGTCGCGTGCTTTCAGGTGTGATTGCTTACAGTTAAACTGATTGGTAGGAACGCAGAACGAACCAGTCAAAAGTCACCGATTTTTTTGCAAAATCATGAACATGATTTGGTGATTAAGGCCCAAGAGCCCAGGACTTCCGTTTCGTTTTGTTTGTGGACTAGTTATTTAACAGAATTTTTATAACTTTATCCACATCTCTAGATGTCTATTTAAGAGAAAAGTTCCTTAGGATGTTATAATTAATTTCTACCCCTTAAACTCCAAAATTTGACCCTTCCTAGTTAATATGGCTACCCCGCTAATAGGAACTTTTTTGTGGCCCGTTGGTGGCCGTATTAACGGGGTTCCACTGTACAAAATTGCCAATTTTTGCAAAACTCGTTGGCCCAAGGTAAAACCACTCCCCCATTTCCTTTAATTCATAATCACCTAACCGCTAACTGAGCAAACCCACATGTTACGTTATTGTGGACTCTTTCCTCTACTGGCTTAAGCATCAATTCATTTCCAGGAACTGAAACCATAGCTTGCGTTGGCCTTAAATGTCACAAATAAAACTGAGTCAAGAAAGTAAATCTACAAGGCGTCATGTTACCAAAACTGAGAGTGGATTTAGCGACCACGTTAAGGCTACCATTAACCCCTCTAATTCGAGTCCGATGCAACAGGCACTTTACGATCTTTAAATTATCGAAGATGATATCTTTTGAAAAGTTGATGCTGCAGTCGTTTCAAAATAGCTTTTTTTGCACTAAGATGCACATAACCCACAAAATTATTTTCTCTCCGCAAGGCACATAAAGGAAACTGCTGAAAGGTGACACAGACATTATCAAAAGCAAAGCTGCTCCTGAACAGTTTGTATTTACCTTCAAGAATGAAAAATTCAACTTTTGCTCTCAAATTCCTTCTAAAATTTTGCTCTGATATTCTACCATTACATGTTATCAGTTGAAAGTGTTTTAAAACTGTTTGGAAAGGACCATTGTCTGGAAATGCGGATATGTGGATATGATATAATTTTGATATTTTCATCATACAAAAGGATGTGTGGATGTGTCACTGGTAATGTGAGATGTTAGGTGATCTGAGGATTGTATGTGGGGATGACTCAGCCCAAAGGGTCACACAATCTGATTCAAGGGCCTAAGGTTTGAATCTCTGACATGCGAAGACTTGAGAGTATCCAGCTCAAGAGTGAGGAAAATATCCAGGTATGTAATTCTAGGCTTAAGAATCATGAGGTTTGATAACGTTGAGAGCAGTGGTGTACCCAGGGCTGCAGAAGTGGAGGGGTCTGGGGCACAGCCCCCAGAATTTTTTTGGACCATGCCCTTCAAACACTCGCAAATGCGGGGAACGCCCTTTTTGCAAAATTTTCCCCCATTATTTGATTCATGTTAGCTATGGCAAATAGCAAAGCATTTTACAATTGTTATTGACACAAGCATACAGTATACTAACCCCCCCCCCCCAATGAGTTTTACATCGTTTTTGGACAAATCTCGAGGACCATATTTTAGAAAAGTGGGGAGGTCCGGA